GTTGTTTTTTGAGGATCGCTGATAACGATAACTGCGTGTGAAAGTCAAAAGTTTCAAACATATTTGTTTATTGTGCCTGCACGACTACAGAGAACATAAAATTCGAACAGAAAAATCGCAGCAATAATAAATAATTCCAAAATATTCATAATAATAATCGTAAATCATAATTAGGCGATAATAATCATAAAGTTACGCGAAAGCGATATTTTCAGTGTGAGCGATCATACGAATACTGACAGTACGACACGATTCATTCATTTACCAATGTTCATCTAACCGAAATTCTCCGACGACCTATTTTCGAGGCGAAGAATAACGTAGGAATCCAAAACAGTTGTTGAATGAGGTATTTTGAGATTAAGTACTAAAAGAGAACGCATAGCTGGAATGTGATTCCAATGAATCAATTGAAGTATAATAAACAATTCATCAATTGAAAGTAAACCACAATTCATGACTGCAGAAACAAACGAACTATCGAGAATCATTCAAATAAGCTGCTGCTTCAAAGTACCGTATCTTCAATAATTAGTTGTTTCGGGTGTCCGTGATCGACAGCATGCTCAATGGCTTTCGAATAGTCCTGCATTCCCCATTTATCCATGTCTGGTGATTTAAGGCGATTTTGCTTGTAAAGTTCCTGGAAAGCCAAGTGCTTGAAGGCATTCTCATAACAAAATCATTGAAAATCTCAGCTCAAACGCTTCAATTCGAAAGACCAACGAATTCAAAAAATGAACTGACTACACGGAAAAATGCTCAAGAACTGAGAAGTTCGAGCCTCAATGATTAGTTTGCAGTGGAATGCTGTTGATGAACAGAAAACAAGGCCGTAAGAATTACAGATTCGTTAAAATTCTCCTCTCAAATGCGCCAACTCTTCAAATGAAGAAAGAAGAGTACCTGTAAATCATGGAAGATCTGATCACATTTTGTTGCATTCTCTGGATTATTGTAGAAATTCATTATTGCAAATCCCCGCGCTATGATATCATTGAAGATAAACGAAGATGTTGAAAATTGAGCATTTTCACCAGACATTTCACCTGGAAGATTGAAATATTTGATGGAAA